CGATCTCTAGCTCTTAACTCACTGATTCGACTCAGTGACTCGGTTCGGTTAATGCTCGCAGACTTCGAATCCAGTATCCAGAAAGACTCATCCAAACTAGTTGTCCCAGGCGGTGGATTACATCCCCTCACCATCTCCTCCATGAGTTACCTCTCTCTCCTGGCTGATTACAGCAACATTCTAACCGACATTCTTATCGACTGGCCGCCTCCAGAAAAACCATCATCGCCGGATTTCTACTTCGACAGTCCAGTATCAGACGATTCTTCAGCTCCTGCGATCTCTTTGCAGATGGCGTGGCTCATCCTCGTCCTTCTCTGCAAGCTCGACAGCAAAGCAAAATATTACAAAGACGTCTCCACGTCGTATCTCTTCCTCGCAAACAATCTCCAGCACGTGGTGGGGAGAGTCCGAGCATCCAACCTCCAGTACTTGCTCGGTGAGGAATGGATTACGAAGCATGAGGCGAAGTTGAAGCAGTTTACTGCGAGCTACGAGCGTTTAGCGTGGGGACCGGTGTTGGAATCTCTGCCGGTGCAGGGGAAAGAAAGAACGGCGATGACGCCGGGAGAGGCAAAGCAGTGTTTCAACAGATTCAATGATAGATTTGAGGAGGCATACCAGAAACAGAGGAGTTGTATCGTATCGGACCAAAAGCTCCGAGACGAAATCAAGAATTCAATAGCCGGAAAACTGGTGCCGGCGTACCGGGAATTCTACCGTACGCATAAGTTAAATGTAAGGGCGACAGAGAGGGAAGAGAGGAATATTGGGTGGTTTGTCCGATTTACCCCTGAAGATGTGGAGAATTACTTGTACGATCTATTTTTTGGGATGACCGATTCAGGAAATTCATCGACGACGTCGTCTCCGTCGTCGTCGATTTGGCGGCAATTGCTATCGCCGTTGAGAAATTAAACAGAATAATTGAAGTTTATAAAGAGATTTTTTAGTAAATAATACTCGGGACTTCTTTTCTTTTTTTATTTAGAGAAAAATGGTCTAATTTTCTCTTGGAGATACATAATTATATTATTATTTTTCTTTTTCCAAACGACAGTAACAGACATACGAGAGAGTTCGTTACAGGATTTTGGTAGAGAGAAGTAGTTATAGAATATATATATATATATATTAAAACGACTTCGTATTTATTTTGGTGTTTCGAATTTTTTCGGTTAAATTGTTAGTTAAAAGTATATTTTCAAGGAAAAATTTATATTAGTGCTTTTCGCGTAAAATTAGAGAAGAAAAAAAAAATCATTATTTTGGATTATTAGACCTTCCTTAAAATAATAAATTAACTTAACATTAACTTTCATTCACTGGTACTAATGATCTCCTTTACAACAAAAATAACTAATTAATATCTTACAAAAATAAAACAATGTCTCAAATTAATAATAAAATTTAATTTAAAAAATTAGTTTAGTTTTGATATTGATAAAAATTAACCAAAAGTCGCTTAATTCTAAAATGCAGAATTTATATTGAATCACAATTTAGTAGGGTCTTATGAAAAAAAATATATATATCACTAAAATTTTATGAAATAGTTTTACGAAATTTAACCAAATTAATATTCATAAATTTATGTAAAATTATTCTTAAAGCATTTTAACATTAATGCATTCAGATAATATTTAAGTAAAAGTGTAACTACTTGTCCTTTTTTTTTAATCGTTTTATCAAATGCCTAAGTTTATTAAAAATTTGATAATTTTGAAGAGCTTCAAAATTTCTTAAAAATAATCTTGTATTCAAATACTTTTTAAAGACTAAAATATAAAAATATTTTTGTACTTTAAAAAATAAATTTTTTTCTCTGTTAGATCCAACTAATGTCATTTGAGAGATATTGAGATCGCACGTAATATATCAAATGACATACCACCTCATTTAAATTCATTGATATAAACGATGTAACAGCCTCGCAAATTCATAATGGAATGTATATTAAAAATATCAAATGCGGAAGCGAAGTCAAAAATTCGATTAACACCCTTACACTAAAACCAAAAACGTGCTCACAATATAAAAGATTAAATTACCTAAAGGAGAAACTTGAAAGTAAAAGCTACAAATATGACTATGGAGTTTTTAGGCGTCCCCTTCGTCGTCCTCCTGCGGAACCGGCTCGGAACAATGTCTTCCTGATCTGAAATGATTAAATAATGAATGAACTACACTAGTCCAGTAAGGACATCACGATATCTCACCGTCACGGAAGTAAAGGTGGGTAGAAAACACAAAAAGACCAATGGAGCATAATTTACAACAAAACCTTTTATCAATAATAAAACCTTTACCATTCACTTATCTCGGTGAAATTCATAAGTCAATATACGAAAACAATAACATCATCATCATCATGAAATCATATATAAACTGTATAACGTAATACTTATCAAGCCTTTCGTAATTCAATCGTTACACAATATATTTTTCTCATTTACCAGCCCACTAGTATCCATGGGGATCCATAGGGGTCCGCTACCCGTTAACCCTTAACACTTGAAATCATATTCCAGGGCCGTCCCCATACCTCGTCCGGTATGTGCGCCAAAACTATAAACCTCATTACCCCGTCCGGTATGAGGGTGAAACGGGCCGTCCCCATACCCCATCCGGTATGGGCGCCAAAACACATAAGATCTCCATACCCCGTCCGGTATGGGAGACCACAATCCCGGTAGGGTTCCCTACGGACTCGGTCCGTCCACCATCTCCCAAGATATCTAGTCAGGCTGATCACATTATACAATTATCAATTTACATAACCTTTCATTCCCCTTTTCCTCAGTCAGCATCATCAATTCACACACAAACAAGCAAAACAGTAATTTATGTCAAACAAGACAACATACAGCATCGGTTGCTCAGTCATTCAACCCATAATCAATAAAACAGTAAAATATGCACACGAAACTATGAAATGAAAACATCAGACCTCATACTACATTTAAAACTGTAAACAGGCCAAATAACAGTTAACCGACAACACACTAGACTCGGGCTCATTAGCGACCTTAAGCAATTTCACACATTCGTTGATTCATGAAATACCGTTTTATCATTTATTGAACTTTAAGACCGTGATAAGAAATAGGGTGAGGGGTCCTTTACTCGTTTCGGGGTCCCAACACGGCTTCACAGTGCGCTTGCAGGCTGTCCGTAATTTTCCCTGAATTTTTTCCGGGGAACTGAAACGCACTACTGGTACCTGCACGTGTTCCAAAAAATCCCAAATTAGGCCCAGGGCCCCTTTCGGCCAATATCGCAACTCCGGCACGGCGGCTCCGCCGTGCTCCGACGACGCCGCTTGCGGCGGCGGTTCACCTCGGGTTGGCCGTTTTCGGCCACACTCGCATTGGTTCCTGCGATAAAACAACCCTACGGCCCTCGGGGGGCCGAAAATTTACGGAAAACCGAAGCTTACCGGCAGCGGTGCTCTCGGGTGCGGTGGCTCTCCGGTGAAGTTCGTGTTTTGGTGATTCAGCTCCGATCAACCTGCAGAGAAAAGAATGGTGATCACGGTGATATAAAAATTGCATTAAACGGAGGCCGGGAAGGGCCTCATCGGAGGCAAAAACTGAGAAGGGGCGCGGCGGCGCCGCTGGCTTTCGGCCGTGTTTTCCGGCCGTTTGGCCGGAATTTTGGCTTCGATTTGGCCACTGGGGAAATCAGCGTGGAAAAACGAGTCGGGGGTATGAAATTTACCTCGATCGGCGGTCGGAAATCCCTCCGGTGCGGCGGCGGGTGGCGGCGGCCGGCTTCTGGTTCGTCTTCTCCGGCGAGGGTAGGCGGCTAGGGTTTGGGGTCTGGTATGGGGGTCTTATTTATACCCTTTTGCCTTTTGATCTCAGCCGTCCATTTTGATTTAATCTGGGCCGTCCGTTTTTGATTAAATCTGGGCCGTCCGTGCGATTAAATTTGGGCCATCCGTGCGCGCGATTGATCTGGGCCGTCCTATCGCACGCACGCGGATCGCCAACGTGGCCCATCCCCGATCGATGTGGTTTTGTCACGTGGCAAGTCCTGGTTGGCCAGGACTGCTGACTGGGTCTGCTGACGTGGCTGCTGACGTGGCGCGCACATTTTTTTTTTTCTTCTTCCATTTCCCGGGCGCTACAACTCTCCTCCCCTTAAAGAAATTTGGTCCCCAAATTTGCCTCGTTACTCTTGATCGAACAGATGGGGATATTGGGCCCTAAATTCTGATTCCAGTTCCCAGGTGGCCTCCCTGGGCGTGTGGTTCTGCCACACGACTTTTACAAATGATATTTCCCGGTTGCGGAGTATTCTGCTCTCTCGGTCCGTGATACCGACCGGTACTTCTTCATAAGACAAGTCCTCTCGGAGTGGAAGCGGTTCATGAGCCAAGACATGAGAAGGGTCCGGATTGTACTTACGTAGCATGGATACGTGAAACACATTATGAACCCGGGAGAGCTCAGGAGGCAGTGCAAGTCTGTAGGCAGTGGTACCAATCTTGTCTAAGATTTCAAAGGGTCCAATATATCTGGGGTTAAATTTTTCCCTCCTGCCGAACCTACTAATTCCCTTGAAGGGGGTGACTTTAAGAAACACCCGGTCGCCTTTCTCAAAGGCCAGGTCTCTCCTCCGGGTATCAGCATAACTCTTATGCCTACTCTGAGCTGTCTGAATGTTCTTCTTGATCTTAACTATCTTGGACGTGGTTTCTTCTACCAAATCCGGGCCAAACAATCTTCTATCGCCCACTTCTTCCCAACAGATCGGTGACTTGCACGGACGCCCGTATAGCGCCTCGTATGGGGCCATGCCGATGCTTGCTTGGTAACTGTTGTTGTAAGCAAACTCTATTAGGGTTAGGTGGTCGTCCCAATGGCCCCCGGAGTGAAGGACACAAGCTCGGAGCATATCCTCCAGCGTACGAAGAGACAGCTTTGTTCTCATAGCTTGCTGGAAACTATTCCAAAACCGAGAAGTGAATCTGGGATCCCTGTCGGATACTACTGTTACTGGAACTCCATGCAGTCTGACTATCTCCCGGATATACATTCTTGCCAACTTATCCAAGGAATCAGTCATTCTGATGGCCAGGAAGTGGGAAGACTTAGTGAGTCGGTCAACAATTACCCATATAGCATCATGTTCTGATCGTGCCTTGGGTAGTCCTGATACGAAGTCCATGGCGATATGTTCCTACTTCCACTCTGGAATCGGTAAAGGCTGAAGTAACCCACCTGGGCGTTGATGTTCTGCTTTGACCTGTTGACACACCAAGCACTTAGATACAAAGTCGGCTATATCTCTCTTCATCCCACTCCACCAGAAAAGAGGCCGCATGGTTTGGTACATTTTTGTACTCCCTGGATGCATGGCAAACCTTGAACTATGGGACTCTGTCATGATGTCTCTTCTTAACTCACTGTCGTCTGGGACACACACCCTGTCCTTGAAACGAATCAATCTGTCAGCAGAGAGCTGGAATTCTGAACTCACTCCCTGTTCTGCATCCTTCTTGCGGGTTACCAGGGCGGGGTCGACTGACTGGGCTTCCTTTATTCTTTGGATTAACTCGGGTTGGACTGCTAGGTGGCCCAAACATGTGACTCTCTTCAGGTCTCGCAGGCGAACCTGCTGTGTAGCCCCAATGGACCTACATTCTGAAACCATCAGATGGGCTAGGGTGCCTGCACTTTTTCTGCTGAGGGCATCGGCCACCACGTTGCCCTTACCTGGATGGTATAGGATGTCACAATCATAGTCCTTGAGGAGTTCCATCCACCTTCTCTGACACATGTTGAGATCCTTCTGAGTGAAGATGTGCTTCAAACTCTTATGATCGGTGTAGATCTGAAAGGTCTCTCCATACAAATAATGGCGCCAGGTTTTCAAGGCGTGTATGATTGCGGCAAGCTCCAAGTCATGGGTAGGATAGTTCTTCTCATGATTCTTTAGCTGTCTAGACCCAT